AAATCTCTTCCTTCAAGACAATTTTTTTGATTGTTATAGAGATCCACAGAGGTATGACCTGACTTTGATTTCTCTTAAACTGTGTAGAACCAGCCACACATAGCACTAATTATTTGCAGCATTTTATATGGCACAACTGCAAGCATAAATTTTATAGTGGCTTTATATGATGAAGATCAAAATAGTCTCTATGTTCCTTCAGGAAAACACACACACACACACACACACACACACACACGTATATTTAGTACATTTAATATATATTTAATTTCATTTAACACCTATTGAAATATTGTTTAATAAATGTTTACTGAAGTAAATGTAAGTCACTCACTCATGAGTTATTTATAAATTTCCTATCAGACAAATTTTTTGGATCACTGTAAATAGAAGAAATAAATGACCATATCATCACATAATTATTAATACAAATTATTTTTAAAATGGGTTGCATCTAGACTGATCAGCAAGGAAGCAAACTGAATCTATGTCAAAAGAGAAGGATTGCCAGTGGTGTAAAACTGTTAATATGAAAGTGGTCACAAAAGGAGTAGGTGCAATGTCATTCAATAAACTTTTGATAGGACTACAGAAAGTAATGCCCTATTTTATTTGCATTTATGTTACATATTTTATCATATTTACATGTAACTATACCACATTTACATATATATATATATATTTTATATTTATTCACATGTCTTATACCTTTATACTTACAATATTAATATATGAGAAAAAAATTGAAACTTTCAACTTAAATTTCACTAATGATCATTGACTAAGTCTGTATATACAGTATTTATTAGTAAAAAAGCTAGAATATAATTCCAGCAACTATTGATAATGAAAATCAATCCTCTCATCATTTATAAGATCCTGGCAATACACTGAAACATTACATTTAATTACCAATTAGATTAATGCTTACTATACATGGTGATCTATACTATACTATGCATGGATCTATGGATCTATGAATCTATACTATACAAGGAGATAGATTATCTACACAATTATACCTAAACTGGAAGTTACTTCATTTCAAGATGAAATCTCCAAATTTTTTAAGGCCGGAGGTTATGTGACTGCACTGGGTGAAAACAACATGGATTTGTAGAAAAAAAATGCATTTTGAGATGTTGAGCAATAAAGTGGCTTTACCATCACTTCCACAGATTAGTTTACCTGGTTATGAAACTACTACCCTGAATGGTGCAATGGAGAGTGTAGAAGACCATTTGGCAAGGAGCATCTTCACAGACTATAATTATACATTTCTGAAGAAATCATTCTTGTGTTTCCTTCAAGAGCTTAAACCTTCCTTCTGAACTTTAGCATGAGTAAAGCTGGTACTGTAGATATTTCCTCGGAGAGCAGTGCTTGCCGTGGGTCCAGACAGCAGAGCTGGAGCCAAAGGTGGGTTTTTCTGTAGCATCTGATAAGCAGCACTGAAAGACGTAAAACAGAATTTTCTCCTAATTAGTGCTATGATCTTTTGAAATGTTTGAAAACCCAAAACATTTTCCAATCAAGCAAATGTTTTATTGCGATGTATAAAACATTTTTAGGTCTCAAAGAATGGAATTTTGACTTCAGAGTTGGTTTTGACCTAGAACAAGATTGATCACCCTTAGATCAGTGAAACTGCAGTGAAGCTCTTAATCTACTGTGGAAAGTGTGGCATGTGTATGCGCAGGACTGTGAGCACCGGCATGGAATGTTGCAGCTTTTCATGCAAGACAGGCTGTGTTTTGTCCATTTCTTCGTTAGTGGTGGCAAAGGGCAAAATATCTGTGTGTCGTGTCACCTCCTCTTTTTTTGTGTCACATCTTTTCCCTGGAAATGAGCAGGCTGCTGGGGTAGGGAGCTCCCTGCAGCCACCTTACCTCTGTGGTTGAGGCATTTGAGATTTGAGCATCAGTGGGGGTCCCACAATGTTACTTTCTAGTGCAGCTGAGCGAGATGCTCACCCTTGGGAGCCTTGGTGTTCTCCCCCTTAAATGGTGAATCTGAGGGCAGGCGCCGGTCCCCGTATCAGGACGAGACAACCCTTAGAGCGTGCTTCCCCCAGCCAGGCACATCTTGTCAGCCTTGCTATGGAGATCTGCTCTCTGCGGAAGGACTTGCGATGGAATGGAGCGTGTGCTCAGGGACGGAGGGTCTGCTCAGGACAACCAGGCTAGGTGCGCTGGGGAAGTGGAGGAGGAAACTCCTGGCAGCACATCTTTGTTGTGGCTGACAGTGGGAAGAATCCTCCTGCTTACAGCTCACAACCAGTCATTTTATGAATTTGGTATAAGATGATGATTTCGAGAAGGCAGGGGACTCACAGTTCAGCTTCCCATTTTCCACTCCATCCATTCCTCATCATCTTCCTGACATGGGATTTCCACTTAGCCTCTTTCCATGTCTCCCACCACATTCCTAAATCCCAGGTCCCAGGCTTGGTGCTCTGTCCTCCGTACTTGGTTTCCAGGTCCTCTTGGGCAGCACCTACTGCACAGCCCAGTACTGTCCCAGCAAAGCACAGCCAAGCCAGGTCCTCCAGGCGCTTCTCCTTCAAACTGCAGGGCTCTGCTCTGCCCTTCCCGCCCCCTCCCTCTCCAACATGGGCTTTCATGGGTCTCCCTCTGTCTTTACTCCCAGGATGAGTTCATGGCTTGGGCATCAGGTAGATGAACTTCTTTTAACTTACTGTTCAGTCAGCTGCTTCCAAATTCTGAACTTGCATCCCAGTCAGAAATACATTTTGCACAGATAATTATTTCATGCAGGTTTACACACGCATGCACACACACAGGTTCGTGCACGCACACGTCCCTATATAAAAACCCTGAAACAGAATTTAACCCCACTATGTACAACTTACTCTAACAATGTCTCTGTCAACCAAGAGTTAAAGGGGAAAAGGGGAAGGCTTTATTTAAAAAATAGAAGCCATGCTCACATCAGGGCAGCTTGTGGTTTGGTACAGAAGAGAGCAGCTCAGGAGGAGAGAGAGGGGTGGGCGGATGAAATTTCCACTTGGTGGTGTTGAGTGCATCCCTGGGTGCTCAGCTGAGGAGCTGAGTGTGTCACGATGTATGCAGTTTGTCACGATGTCCAGGGAGTGACAGGAGATTTTCTGGACTTCATTTTTCTTGCAGTTGAAGCAGGAACATGTCCAGTCAAGAGATACACAGTTTAGCTTGTGGTTCTTCCAGGAACACAGACTTCACATGGGCCCAAATCAATGAAGGCTGCCAGGCTCCCTGCTGAATTGAGGCCCAGTCAGCACCTGGAGCTTTCTTGGCATGCAGCTTTTCTTAAAGTTTTATGTCTCTTATTCTTCTGCTGCTAAACATTCTGAACTATCAAGAGAGTTCACTGCCCTCGGGGGTGCCATCCCTAGCATTTTGCAAAGCACTAGTCGACAGCACTCATGCAAGGCAGCTCACGTTGTTTATTGTGCAGTTGTTGCGTCCCACCTAAGGAGTTACAGACAGGGCAGCACCGTGTGGGACCTCACAGGCTTTATGCATCTAATCATGGCTTCTGAACAAGCAGTGGCCCAGTAAGTATTGCAGAAGGAAACACAGGGAGGGGAGGAAGAAAGGAGGGGGGAGGATAACAGGAAGAAAGAAAAAGGGAACTGAAGATGTTGACTGTGCTCAGCAGTTAATTATTAATTATGCTCATAATTAAGATTATTGCTAGTCAGAAGTCAATAGACCCAGAACCTTCAAGCTATCTACAGGTGGATTTTCCAGTAAGTGGCACAGTTTGAATAACTTCATAAGTGTCAATATAAACTTAGAAACTCGTTGCTAAGTGGTGGTGGAATCCAAGACAAAATGAACAAGCTAGAACAAGTTGGCTACTAAAGAACTAGGTGGGGCCCATTCCTCTCTGAATTTTGGGCAGGGTGCAAGGCGTGTGTCCAGAGGTGAAAATGTTTGGACTCCCCTTCCATACACCTGTGAAGTGAAGCTCATTCCTCCTGTAAGTGCTGGACATGAGGCTGTGTGCTGAACACACCCAGTGAGCCCTGTGTGATTTGCTCGTGAGCACAGTGTTGAGAGCTCACACCTTCAAACATCTCCGGGCTGAAAAAGGAAACAAGTGGAGTCACCTCATGACACGGAGGAAATGCCTCTCACTGAAATGCCCCATTCAAAGAGAAAATTAATATGACTTAAGGTTTAGAACTCTTACAGTCACATACAGTTACTGTGGCAACCTGCCCAGGTTGACCTGAGTAGACCACGCCTCCGTAAGAAAGTTCATCCTCTTATCTGACTCTGTAAACTACACTGCAGCATCACAGTACTCTATGTGCTCTACACAGGCCAAGTAATGACAGAAAACACAGCCTTTCATCAAGGAAGATGCTTTTTCCAAATCCTTTGCAGAATACTGTCTGTGCATTTTGATTTTTAACTAACGGTATATATAAATGAGATCACTAAACTAAAGGGTTAGAAATTAAGGGGCAGTGACTTAAAATAAATATATGTGAACCATATCTTTTCATGGAATGGTATTAAATCTTTCATATTTAATTTTGAAACAATAAAGTTTGAACATTCTTCATGTTAAAGAATACAAATTCCTTTATATACTTCAATTAATTAAGAATTAGTACTAAAAATAAATGTATAGTATGGATAGAGTTTATTGCCTTAATTTCCAAGACTTTGGTTTCCTAAACATAATTGCAATTTAGAAAACTCAATAATTTGCAAAGTTTCTCAGAAACTTTGTAGCTTCAGAAACACTGGTTGTAACTCTCAGCTACCAGGAAACTCTGCGCCTCTGATGAGAGAGTCAGTGAACAAACACTGGATCCAGGATGAGTCCAGTGCAACCAGCAATTAGTGCTGGACTCAGGGCCTCCTACCGCATTAACAGCAGTAAATATACAGTTCGCTGTACTTGATTTAAATACACCAGTGTGCTGATTGGTAAAATATAAATGTTAATGCAGCTACTTTAACAGAATCTACTTTTTTTTCCAGATGCTAAAAATATTACTGCTTCACCAATACCAGCAACAGTTTCCACAACAAACACATTTGTATCAACTCCAAACGTAAACAACAGCGTTGCTGAACCCACAACTGGAACATCTTCTCATGGTAGGATCATATTCATAAAAAAATTATTTTACCTTTAGCAGACAAAACTAGTAGCATTTGTATAATTTAATATAAGAAGTAACCCAGAATCTTATATGTGTTTGTTACAAAGGTCTGGTATGTCACTATTTTGAGATCTTTGTGAGATTTTAGGTTTCACCATAAGCCTGGGCTCTCAGTGGGTCTCCTTGCCAATATTCTTGAAGATTGTTTCCTGTTTGACAATGTTCTTATTGTTAATATTACATAAACATAGTTTATTTTTAGAGAAGAAAAACGCCATGCGCAAGCCGTATAAATATTTAGCTGCTGTAGCTTTCCGCTTGCACGGCAGGGCCAGCACGGTGTACCTGTACTAAGAACGGACTGATCTGTTGCTTGTTCTGTGGTGATAACAGATTTAATCTGTTGGCTTCAATAGCAATGTCATCATTTCTGTCACTAGACTGAGTGATAGCAAATCGACCCAGCATATCTATCTAGATATTAAAGAGACTGTCTTATCATTCATAACAACTTAAAATGCCATTAGAATTCTTCAAATGAAACTCAAGGGTGTATCAATACAAAGCAGCGTTTGGTTTATCCTGCAACATACATAAATGAGACAGACATGTTACTCAGGTTCCCTAATCAATGATGGACAAAGAATACAAATGCTCATTGATTGCCTAGGGACAGAAACTTGTCAGAATGCAGAGGTCACAGAAAGACCAGAAAATCAAGTACTCCGAATGAATTAAAGACTGAAATCTTCCAAAGCTCTTCATTTTCACCTTAATTTTTATTGTGAGACAAAGCTCCACCATGCAGATCAACAAAGGCCAGCTCTCTGGGATACACTGGGGTGGAGATGCTCAAAAAGCCAGGGTGCCATGATCAAAGCCTCCTATTTCTGCAGTGTTTGAGTCTAAGATGAAAGCAAACCAATCCTCCTAGAACTTTTCTATCAAGTCGGGGGAAACATCATGTAATGAGCACAGCATGGGGTTTTTATTCCTAGAATATCACACAAGCTGTGTGTCCAGGCAAGGGAAACGCCAGAGGACACAGGTGGGAAACCATGGCCACGGCACCTCTGACCATTTCCCTCACACAGTGGTTTCAATTTTAATCAAACCCAAAGTCTTCTCTGAGTTACACCCCTAGCTTCCCCTCCCCTGTTTTGAGACAGGGTCTCTCTAATTCATTCAACAGCACAGACTGCACTTGAACCTCCAGTTCTCCTGCATCAGGTTCCCAGAGCACTGGGATTACAGGTGTGCACCACCACTCCGGGATTTTTCCTTAAAAGTTGCGCTAGCCTTGTGTCCCCAGGTTCTGAGAACAGGCGTTCTGGTACTTTATAAAGCATAACTGTGAACCATGATCAAAAACCATGGTGCGTGTTTAAATAAAATTATTGCCATAAAGGTACGTTACCATGAATCTCCTCAAAATTCTCCACATTTTCCATCCACTTACCCCATCGCTCTTGCTGCTTAGACCTGCTTAGACCTCCTGAAGCAGTTCTGAAGTCCTCTTTCCTAGCTGTCTTGAGCTGCATTGTCCTAGCTACCTTGATGTCCTGAATTGATTCAATACTACACTGACTGTTGATGGCCGTTTTGACTATGGGAAGAGTCAGAAGCCGCACGGTTCCAGGTTTGGTGAAAGAGATGGGTGAGGACACTCCGTGATGTTTTTGTGAGCCACCTTTCCACTGGGTGGCCCCAGGCAGCAGCGTTTACTGGACGTTTAATTGGGTCTCTGTTTAATACAGACACTCATGAACTGCTTCAGAAAGTGGCAAGAACCACCTGCCTTGCAAGCAGGCAGTCATGAGTTCAATCCCCAGTACCGATAAAAAAAAAAAAAATTAAAAAAAAGGGGGGCTGGGGATTTAGCTCAGCGGCGGGTTCGATCCCCGGTACCGATGAAAAATAAATAAATAAATAAAAAAGAAAGTGGCGAGAACAACAGAACAAGTGTGTCTGAGGTGAGGGGAGACACTTGCAGGGAGGTGAATGGTAATGTGTTTTTTACCATAATTTTTAAAAATTAAACATTAAAAAAATAAACATTCACTGTAGTTTCTGATGATTTCTTTTATTTGCTGCCCTCTCTCTTTCTTCCTCTCTCTGAGAGGAGTCTCAGGCATAAAGCTGACAATTTACCCTGGTTTTGTGAAAGTGTATGCTTAGCTTTACCATCGGCAATGCCCCTAACCGCTGATGCAGAGGAGCCGAGTCTCCTGGACCCGGGTCCGTACCAGCACAGTCCATCCTGAGGAGCCAGGCCGCGGGGCAGGGGCTGTGCACTCACGGCTCAGTGGGGCAGCACTGGGACAGGGGCACAGGAGCCGGCCATTCGGATGCTGCCTGGTCGCCATGCTGGAGTGAGGGCACAAGAGCAAACCTTCTCTGGTCACAGTGCTGCTCATCCTCCCACAGGAAATGCAGCTAACAGGCAGCACTGGACAGGTGCAGAGTTTGTCTGAAGATCTCATGCGCCACACAATGTGCCTGCATGCATGGCTGCCTAATTTCAGACCCACAGGAGGCTTAAATTTGGAGCAGTTGTGTACAGTTCCCATCTTCCGAATAACCAGTGTGAACGACACAAGAATATCAGAAGGGCGTCTCCACAGTGAAGCAGCTTCTCCTTCTTCATGGCCAGCGTGGTTCTCTTGGCTATGGTGAAAGTACTTATAAAAAACAGTGCACGTAGCTCCTTTATTTTAATTTGAGGGCTTCCCAATCACATTTTCTTTGTTTGAACTTGGTTTGTGCTGCTGTGTTTATGGAAAGCGTAAAAATGCTTGGTGGAAATTGTACCATCGGAGTAGAAGTGCGGGTGAGAGGAGGACTCGCCTTACAACCCCATAGCTGATGGCAGCTGCTACCACATGGACAAATGCACCTTTGCCCCGAGGAGAGCCTGCTTGCAGAGTTACAGCTGGGGAGAAGGGCCGTGGCCGCCCGGATGGACTCAGCCACTGCGCACTGTGCAGACACCTCATGTCACCCTCGTAACACGGACACCTGTGGTACAAAACCCAACCTGAAATTCTGTCCTGAAGTGAGATTATTATTGGGCCTGGTTCAAAGACAGTTGCTAGTCAGATGTTTGAATGAGTAGAGTCATATGCAGCAGTAAAACCTTCCTCAGCACCTGCTCGATACCAAGGCTGCTGGGTACCAAAACAGGCATTCACGTCACCTGGGCCAGGGGAGGAGCAGGTGTTTGCGCCGTGGTCTAGAGTGCTGGGCATGGCCAGGTGCATTTGTCTGTGTGAATGGCTCGAGATCCAGGGGGAGCCAGCACAGAACAGGAATTTGAAAAATGACTCTAGAATGAACAATTACAAGAGTACAATTTTTTATGACTTTTGCTTATTTGAAATTTTCATTACTATAGCTAAATTAACAAAATAGCACACAATTCATCACAACAAATGACATTCTCCAATCCTGTTAGCCAGGACATTTTCTCTAAAGGGAAAAATAAAATGATTTCTTGTGGCTGGAATTTAGAGTTTTTAAAATATTTTTCTACATGTTTAGTGAAACCCAGGTAACAGTCTGCAAGAGAAATCTGCAGCTTGGATCTATCACACAAAGCCGTGTGTGCACACAAATGAGTGTTACATGCACAGATGTTTAAAATGAGACCACCAAGCGTTCAACTCCTACATTCCTCTTTGGACAAAAAGAGCTGGAAAAATGGAAAAAAAAAATCAAAGATAGACAAAAGCTAACATAGTCACCCTCCAAGTCTGACTAACCTTTATTTGTTGCTTGACAAGTGAGTGGAGGCCGTGAGCAGTAACAATGGCGTCTCTTACCTAACCAGGAGCGGCCAGTACCAGCTCAGCGGGGCTGCTGCCGGTGACCCCATCTACAGCAGGCGGAGGTGCAGGTGAGTAGGTGCCTTTTGCCACCACTTAAAGCATACTCGCTATGTGTATCTAATTCACACACCATAGTCTCACCCCTCTAACATGTGCAATTCGATTAAATTTGTAAATTCTCAACTTTTGCTATTTTCCAATTCATAAGCATGTATTGCTTTCCTAAGTCTCTAATTTCTCTCAATGACATTTATAGTTTTTAGTGTAGATCATTTGAATTGCTTTAATTCAACATATTCCATGTTGTTATTCAATTTTTGTTTTTGTAAATGAAATACGTTTTTCTTAGTTTCAACTTTGGGCTGTTCATAGCTACTCATAGAAATACATCACTTTGCTGAACTCATTTACTGCTTGCATTGTGTGTCCATGTGTGTGCGTGTGCGTGTGCGTGTGCGTGTGTTCTAAGATTTCTTATACACAGTGTGATGTCATCAACAAATAGAGGTAGTTGCTTTCCTTTCAGTGAATGTTCTTTCACTGTATTGTCTGATGGTCCCAGTGTCATGCTGGAGAGGGGAGCGAGGGGCTCTTCTTTTCCTCCTCCTAATAAGAGAAAGCTCTCAGTACTTCCCCATTATGAATGGCGTTAGTCACAAATTGTTTTTGTTTTTGTTTTCTTGGTGCCTCTCACCAGGATGAGCAAATCCTTCCTATTACTACTCTGTCGAGTGTTTTTATCATGGAAGGGACTGAAATTTTTAATGCTTCCTCTCACCATATTGAGGTTATTGTGTGACTTTTACCCTTTGTTTTAGTAATATGACATGTAACAATTTTGACATGCCAAGCCAACTTTACATATCTGGAATAAATTCAACTAGGTCATGCAGTGTGTATAATCATTTTGATGGTGCTAGTGTTTTTATGGTGCTAGATTTGATTTGTGTTATTCTGTCAAGGGTTTTTGCATTCATATTCATAAGGGGTAAAGCATCCTAGCCTTCTTTTCTTGCGATGTTTGTCTGGATTGGGTATCAGGGTCATCCCAGCCTCCTAAAATTAGTTGGAAAATATTCCCTGCTCTAACAATTTTTGGAAGAATTTTGTGGACAAGAAGGTCACTATTTTAAAAACTTATTTTTAAGTTAGGCCATCATTATCTAATTTCATTAACCGGATGAAATAATTTGACATACAATCTTAAGAAGCCACCCTAAATGCCAGTGTTGCGTGGAGTTGAACTCCTCAGTGTGAGAAGGATGAGATAGTGTTCTGTGTGGAGGTGGCAGGTGGCCTACACTATGTTCCTCTCTGTTCCCCCTGGAGGTTCCCCACATACGTGGGAGAAACAGAGCTTCGAGAATACAATTTAAAACGATTGTGATAAAGTCTGGTTACTTAAACGCTAGTGACAGTAACACAAAAATTTCATACGCATTTTACAACCAGAAAGCAAATAAAGCCCTCTTGTTCACCCCACCTGGCCTGACAGGAACCTCACTGCTAGTTGTTACAAACTGCAGCTTTGAAAAGGGGGAAGCTGAGAGGTCCTAGAAGCTTCTAAGGTCCTGATAAGCACCATTACTAATGATTCAATGGTATGCATGGCTTTATGGATAAATCAGAACCATATACCTGAGAAAATAAAAAAGAAACCCTACCAAAATTTACCCTAAATCCAAGAAACACCACTGAGATAGACTTGAAGAGGAAAGTCGACATCTACATGGAAATAAAAACGTGCAGGAAGTCTTTTATTAGCACATTTGCAGGAGCTGCAAAGCCATTTTTAAAAATCACAGATTCTGGATCATTCTGAGCCGCTGAATTATCTCAACTCATAAGATTTCTGTGGCTTCTGAACAAAGGACTGCTCTAAACATAAGTATGATTCTATTCTTGGCCTGGGGCCATTCTCAAATTTCTGTACACACTGACCTTGGTCGGTGGGGTAGGAAAGTAGACAGGTCCTTCTCCCAGTTCACCACAGTCTGTACCACAGGGAGCATCTGGCGGCTTCTCCTGGGATGTCAGCAGCTCCAGGGGAGGACGTGGCTTCAGAGGCCTTCACAAAAGGCCTCCTGTGCCGACCTCACTCACCATTTAAATGACATAGGAATTAAAAAGGAAACACACGACTCATACAAATAAAGCTGTCTCCCCTTTTAATCTGCTACCAGAAGTTCTAGTCCCAGTCAGCTGCCATCTTTTCAACCCCCTTCAGTTCCCTGCAGAGTCCAGGGACTGCACCTGGCCTGGCGTCATGTCTGATCTCCTCCTCCCCAGAAGGAAGCACTGGAGGGCCAAGTCTTGAGCTTTTCCTTCATGGTTCAGCTGTTTGGCTACATCCCTTCATACCTTGTTTCCCTTCTTAGATATAACACTAAAAAGTTACTTCAGTCCAAGATACTTATTTCCACATCAAGGACAGAGACCAAAAGAATCTGAGCTAATTTTCAAGAAGCCCCTGCTCCAGTGTTTGCCAGTGCTTGGAAACATCTTCCCGGGGCTATGCGTGTGAACTTGTAGGCTCCTCCATGTGCTGTAAGGGGCTCTGCAGCCCTAGAGGTCAATAAATCTGCTGTTAGTCTGACAGCAGGGATACCCTTATATGTGAGTTGGCACTTTTCTCTTGCAGATTTTAGAATTCTTCATCCTACACTTTTGACAGTTTGACTGTAATATGTAACCATGAAAAGATTTTATTTTACTTTATTTGGTGTTCTATAAGCCTTCTGTACATGGATATACCTATCTTTCGCAATTAGCAAAGTTTTCTGGTATTATTTCATTGCATAGATTTTCTGGGTCCTTAAATTTTTTGTCCTTCCTATATTTAAAAATATGATTACTTGTTTATTTAATGGTGTCACAAAAGTTTTGAATGTTCCCTTTATTCTTTCTCATTTTCTTCTTCACTTTCCTTGTCTTTATTTATTTTGTCTGACTATGATACTGCAAGACTTGTCTTCAGGGTTAGTCTTCCTGCCTGTTAATTTATACTATTGTTGGGGCTCTCAAACTTTTAATTGACTTACTGAGTTCTTCATTTACAAGATTTCTGTGCTTTTTAAAAAATCTGTCAAATATATCACTTATAGCCTGCATTGTTTTGCTATTTTCATTTAATTGCTTGTTTTCTGTTAGATCTCTTATATAATCCGTTTTATAACATTTTTAAATTTTTTTAATATTTCAATCATATTGACTTCTTTGGTGTTATTGTAGAACATTGTTATATTTTTAGTGTCATCCTGTTACATTTTTTTCATATTCTCCATCTTCTACATTGCTGCCTGCAAGTCTGGTGGACCAGTTATCTCCACCTCTTTCCTGGGGTGCCATCTTAGTCAGAGCCTTTCTCACAAAGATGTGTCTGGGGAGTCAGTTTGCAGTGCAATGTTGACTTGATTTCTGGCCAGGACCAGACCAAGCTATGTCTATCTTAGCTTCTTTGGCTATGACTCATGACTGTGAGTATAGTCCATACCACAGAGAGAACTCACTGTCCCTGCAAACCATGCAAGTGTGGGCACTCTAGAAGTGCAGACAGACGTGGTGCAGAGGGCAGTGTGAGATGCTCACTGTGCGGCTGCTCTCATGATGGAAACAGTGCTCCTGTCCCACGACAGAGGTCCCCTCAGGAACCGTTCGTGTTAACTCTGCTGCTAGCAAAGCTGCCTAGCACCCGGGATGGTGAGGGGTGCAAAGCACTTGTCCTCTAGCCAGTGCAGATGCTGGGTGCAGAAAGGTGGTGGTGGAATCATAGTACCCAATATTTCACTAGGGATCCTTCAGGCCAGAGGAGAGCTTTTCGTCTCAAGTGAATAATTTTTATCCAGAGTTGTCTAAAAAGATACACTTGTTAAATGTTTCCCAGCCTAAATTGAGGTTCCAAGGAAAAGTTAAATTTTCACCCACATGCACTGTGTTTCTCCTCTGAGCGAGGTGGTCTTCCTGCTTCCCCACTAAGTGAGCATCAGCTTCTCCTCTCCGTGCACAGTAAGACCCATCAGCTTTTCCTCAAGTATTTCCTGCCACACTTATATTTCAAGATGCCTCTTAAGTCTGTGTCCATTACTGCCCTTTTCCCATATGGGAGGTGAACACTGTGGTTGACATTTGAGTTTTCTTTTCTTAAAACATTTCTTAAGGCCCACATTGCTTTATTATGAGATCAAGCATCACTTTCCCGGTGGTGAAGAGAAACACTAAAACTCCTTAAACATTTCTAGGACTCCTCATAGGCTCTTTTCTCTTCTGTTTTAAATTAGTTCGTGTGTTAGTACAGTGATCACATTCCTCATGGGGAGCTGCTCCACGCAGGTGACACATCTTAATCTTTTTAAAACCCCTTTCCCTCCCCTCCGTCCATCTCCTTCTATCTCTTGGTTCCCTTCCTATCTGCCAAAGATCTACCTCTCTGTTTGCTAGTTTCTATCTATATTTCATTTTGCTCTTTATTTGTATTTAAATTAGTTCTTAGGTATAAGAAACCATGTGATATTGCAGCTTATGTATGTTATTTCACTCAACTTTATGGCCTCAACATGCATCCTTCTTCCTACAATTCACACAAAGTGTGTCCTCCTTTGTGCACAGTAGTACTCTGTTGTGTGCAAATACCATGTTTTCTTTATCAATTTGTCTTTTGATGCCCGCATAGCCTGCTGCCAAGATTTAGATAAGATGAATTGTGCTGCTCTATGCAGAGGTATGCATGTTTCACTGCACTGTGATGTCTTTAACTCAGAAAGACACCTAGAAGAGAAATGACTGGATCAAATTGAATTTCTAGTCTTAGTTTTTTGTGAAATCTCCAAGCTGATTTCAATACAGATTGTACTATTTTATGTTTCCACCAACAATCTATTGCTGTTCCTTTTCCCCTACAGCCTCACCAGAATTTGTTATTATTGTTTCTTGATGACGTCATTCTTCCTGGACTAAGAAGGAATCTATGTGCTGGTTTCACCTGCATTTCTCTAATGGTCAGAGATAGATCTATATTCAGTCTCTTGCCTGCAGATAACCAGTTTCCCCAGCACATTTGTTAAAGAGGCTATCTTTTCCATAGTGTGTGTTTTCGGTCCCTTTATTTAAAAACCATGTTGCTGAATGTGTGTGGAGTTGTTCCTGCATCTTCTGTTCTGTTCCATTAACACATAAGTGTGCATTGTTGTTATAATATAACTTAACGTCCGGGGCTGTGACGCCTCCTGCTTTGCTTTTGTTGTCCAGGATTGCTTGGGCTCTTCTCCGTCTTTCTGGTTCCATGTGAACTGGAGGATTGTTTCCTCTCACTCTGTGAGGAGTGTTATTTATATTTTGATTGGGACTGCGTTAAATCTGTGTATCAGCTTTGTTAGTGTGGTCATTTTGACTTTATCGATTCTCCCTGTTCTGGAGAAGGGGCTGTCCTTTCATTTTGTGATGTCCTCTTTGATCTTCTTTCTCAGAGTATTGTAGTTGTTACTGTAGAGATATTTCTCTTTCATTTTGGGTTAATTCCTAAACATTTAATTTTTCTTGATGGTAGTGTAAGTAGCACTGTTTTGCTAATTTCTTTCTTGGTGAGTTTATTATTGTGTACAAGACTTTTGTGTGTTGACTTTGTACCCTTCTACACTACTGAATTTGTTAATTCTCAGAGTCTTTTGGTAGAAATTTTTAGGTCTTCTACATACAGGACTATAAGATCTGCAAATAATGATAATTTAATTTCTTTCCTATACATATCATTTTTCTTACATTTGATTTAATTGAATTTTATTTGCGTATAAATTCCTGAAGCGTTTTTGTCTGCAGACATAATTATCTACCATTCATGAAGTCTCGCAAACTATTAGGTTTTTCAGCATGAGTCTTGACAATGCTGAGAATTTGTATTATATGGTAGATGTTTGTTGCTGAGAGCTAGAAGTTGACTGGCTCTTCTGGAAGCCTTCAGCAACCCATGCTCGGATCTGCTCCGTGACAGGAGTCTACTAGACTGCCTTCCTTCCATCTCCAGCTAGTGTTATATCTGGTTGGAACCAAACATGTCCTGACTGGGATGTCTGTCTGGTCATTATCGATCCAGTGTCCCTATGCTGGACTCCAAAAAGACTGAAGAGCACCCATCATTTTATTCACATTTAGAGTGTCTCAAACCATCTTTTATCCAGTGTCATTTTTTTTTTTTAAACTCAGGTCATTTTTTCCTGTTAATTTTCCTTCAAAAATTAACTCACTATATTGAAAAGTAAATTGTGTTTCCTTCCTTGATCTCTTCATCCCTGGCCATTCACCTACCTGAAAAGTCTCTCCTAGGCAAGAAGGAGAATCATGGTACCACCTTTACCAACAAGCTCTCTCTTACCATCCCTTTTTAGCAGAGCTAATATCTTTTATGTCAGAAAGTCTCAGATGCAGATCATGGTTCCTTCTTACTAAGAGTTATGTGTTTAAGGGGCAATTTGGGAACTTCCCTGAGTTTCATGCATAAAATGATGACCATAAAGATTGCTTCCTTTATAGAATTACATTGACGCCCAGAGGACAACACTTATAGCAAACATAGAACAGTCTCATGTAACCCCATCTTCTTCAAAATAATTAACTGAGTCACAAAAAGGTGAGTATTAAGATGACGGATTTCTAAATCTTGGTCATAACGCTTTCAGCAGCTAATCTTCAAGCTGTGATTGGATGTTAATATGAATATCAAAAAGATTCACCAGTGATCTGCTGTGCTCCTAATGGTGGCTTTTTTTTAATTACATGAACAGAAAGCACAACTGGTGGTCGTCCTTCACAGAATGAATCTGTCACCCCTGAAGAGACCATGACAAGTTCCTCACTTTCAAGTGTTCCTCCGACTTTACAGAGCTCCCAGAACATGAGTGAGTACGAGGGTTCGTGCTGCTGTGTTAGACGCACGTATGGATGGGGTGGCCTCACGCTGTTTCCAGCCCACAGCTGCTCCCTCTGAGTCTCTATCAAAGTTAAGAATGGGACAGCTTTGCCCCATAGTAGCCACAGATGCGTCGGTGTTAAAGAGCAGTGTAGGTTGGGCAGTAACCTGTGACAGCATCAGCACAAGCAGACCTTGCTGGATGAAGCAGGCTATTTTGGGGCAATGTGAATATTCTTGGAAAGACAAGCTGCTAAGAAGTTATAAAAGACTGAAAAGACTTACATCAATGGAAAAAACTGAAAAAGAAGTTTAAAAAACTTTTCCCAGACAGAAAATTCCAATCAGGATGGTTTAATTATGAGTTGAACAAAAAATTTTCACAAGAGCTGACACTAACTCTTCCCAAAAGCACCCAAACAATAGAGAAAAGGCTGCATATGTATTTCTACAAGGCTAGTATTGCCTTTTTGATAAAGCTAGAAAGGAATTAAAAGTAACAAGCAGGTAATGAAAACTGCTCATCAATATCCCTCATGCATATAAGTAAGACTATCTTTAATACTAGCAAACAAAGACACAATTACATGAAAAAGAATACGAAACATTAACATTAACAATAGAATTTATCCCACAAATGCACATTGATTACACCTATAATAATTAATTTAATTACTGTCTAGTAGAATTAATGCATGTATAAAGTATTTAACAAAATCATAAATTCATAAACTTAATGAACAAGAAATGAAATGGAACTTTCCAAATATAATAAAGGGCATCTACAAAAAATTACAGTTGGTATCATGTGAAATTGTGAAAAATGTAATATTTTCACCTTAAAAACTGGAACATATTCAAGATATTCCATTCTTATTACTGCTACTCAGCATTATTAACCAGAAGTTCCAAATAGTACATAAATTGATGAATAAATGTGAGTAAATAGAAAAGTAGACTCAATCAGTTGAAAAGGAAGAAATAAGTAGGTTTTATTATCAGACTACAGAGACAGGTATGCAAAAATTCAAAGATTCATAAAAAGCTATGAGTAGTTTTACCACAGGATGCAAGATATGCATAAAGATATCTTGCTTTTGTTATATTAACAATGGCAATCCAAATTTTTTTAAATTGCATTTATAATAACATCCAAAAAACACAAAATACTTAGAAATAAATTTAGCAACAGAAATGTAAGATTTGTTCACTAAAGTACACAATAGTTTGACGAGAATTGAATAACAGACATTACATGTTGATGGACTGTAATACTTGATGTTTTAAATGATAATTGTCTTAGTTACTTTTTACTTGTTGCTGAGACAAAATACCTGAAGCCCAAGTTGGGAAAGGAAAGGTTTATTTCTTACAGTTTTTGGAGGTTTCAGTCCACACTCAGTTGGCTCCAAGGCAAGCGGGCATGGCGGGGCCACAGTTCATGGTGGCTGCAAACAGCAAAGAGCAAGACACACCTTCTTCCTGCCATTACATCACATCCTGGTTCCACCCCTTTGTGGGTGGAGCACTGACACCATCAGTCTAAGCACCACACAGTGAACCATCACAAATGCACAATGCAAACTCATGAGGCCTGGGGGCCACAGACATAGACCATGACAATAATTTTTCTCAAATTGGTCAATAATCACTAACATTTTCAGTACAGTCCTTATTAGAATCACTTTTTGTTGTTATTTTAGAAATCAATGAGGTCATCGTAAAATTTATACAGAAATGGGAAGGACCTAACCTAGGTAAAAAGCTTTTGAAAAATAATAAAATTAGAGAGCTTTCACAATCCAATTTTAAAACTTACTCTAAAACTGTAATAATCAAGTATAAACCTGAAAAATATCTTGTTCAGTGAAATCATATATAAAACATGATAAATAACATGATCCCATTTATAATAAATATGTAAAAAGAATCTCTGAACTTATTTTAACTGATCCAAGAAGACATGAAAGTTGGGCATATTTAGGGTATATCACCTGATGTCTCGACTCACGGATAATTTATGTTATATTTAATTCAGGCAAAGATATCTGTCTCCTCAACTACCATTTATTTATGGTAAAGCATTCAGGATCTCTTCTCGCAGTTCTGCAGCATATAATCCATCCCTGTAGCCACTCAGCCGCTCAGATCTGTCACTTACTATGCTCTAATCAAGCTCTCTCCCTCCTTCCCGCCTTCTCCACTGTTCTACTCACTTTTCTGAGGTTGACTTTTTATGTCGCACACGGAAATGAGACCATGTGGCTCTTGTCTTCCTGTGCCCGGCTTATTCCACTGAACATAATGATCTCTGATTTTATCTGCATTTTTGCAAGTGGTAAAATTTCATCATTTGTAAGGATGAATCACATTCCACTGTGTACATGTACCACATTTTCTTTATCTATTCATCACTTGAACTCTTGAGTTCACATTTCTTGGTTACTGTAAATAGTGCTGCATTTCTGACATACTGGTTTTATCCTGTTTGGATATACTTGAAAGTGAGATTCCTGGGTCATTTCCAGGTAGTCACAGATTTAACTTTTTGAGTAGCTTCCATGATGTCTCTATTAGTGTCCCTACCCAGGAACGATGTACAGGGTCCCTTCTCTCCACACTCTCCCCAGCACCCGTCATCTCTGCTCCTTCGAGAAGAAACAATCCTCTGGGAGCAAGACGGGAATCTCCTGTGGTTTCGCTTTGTGTTTCCTCGGTGATTGGTGATGTCCAGCATTTTTTCAGATATCTACTGGCAATCTGTATGCTTTCTTTTATGAAATGTCTTTTTGGTCTGCTGCCCATGTTCAAATCAGATTATTTTTGAAGAGACGTTTTTATAATAAAAATAACTAAGTGCCTGTAGCTGGAGGTGGTGTTAAAGAACAAAAGATTCAAGGAGGTTTTTCATGTCAGTGGAAATAAAGGGACAACTGTATAAGTGTAATCTTACTAAAAATTATTAACTTTATCCTCAAAATAAATGAATTTATATATTATTTAGTATTCAAATAGTATCCTTTTAAAGCTTTGTGTAGAAATAAAATGGTGAGCATTAGCAGACAAATTTCTTTTCTGAATCTTCAGAACTAGAAATCCCCAACAAACCAGAAGAATTAGCCAGGAGGATTAAAGCTTCAAAAGGTTAGTTTAGTACTGAGAAAATCACAGCAATTCACGTACATGTCGACAGCATAGGGAAGCAGGTGTCAGAAGTACCTAGAGTTAGAAGGAAGGGTGGAAAGGATGCGGCAAAATTGGTAGAGCCCCAGAGCAAAATTAAAATACTCGTGAGACACAGAGAGGAGCAGAACACAGAACTCCCGCAATTCCTGGCTTCTGGTACAGCCCACACATCCTCACAAACACTCCCACCCTGTGGCCTTTGGGGCAGAAATCTGAAGGGAGATTCACATCTAGTCAAAATGTCATCAAGGGCAAGGGAAAAACAGGCCTCTGCCGAGAAGGCCCCGTGGATGCCATCCAGCATCAGTGAGTGTACCTGTAACACAAAGCACTGATGGTGTCTCACAGTCTCTCCGTCACTACACCTCTGAGGTGAAAAGGAGGCAAGCGGGAGCTATAGGTGTCCACGTCCCGCTCTTGTCTACAGACGCACCAGGAAAACCGGGTGTCCCCTTGTTATCGTAATCACAAAGCACCACATAAAGCTGTTTGGAGACAGGTAGTCTATTTTCATGCCATAACTGTAAACTGTGGATTCTTTTGCAAGAGACAGTTGCCTCATAGAAAATTTGAAGAGTAGGTTCTTCTCTCTTTCAAGGAAGAACACTTTCTTTGTAATAATGTTTGTGCTCTGATAAAAAGAATCTATTTTGTAGGTAGTGTAAGTCTGAAAGGAATTTTCAGTAAACACAGCTCATACACCTGGTAATATAAGTGATTGCCCCTAATGCAAACAAAAATAAAGCTACACTGGCATCTGTAGACTATATCACAGCTTCTGGAAGATTAAACTGTAGTTTCTACTCTGTGCTAAACATTCACGTATTCAATGAGCACTTGTTATTAAACTCAGTGTTTACACAGGAGTATATGGTCAGCCCTGTGAGCCACTTAAGACTTAATTTCACTTTGATTTTGAAGTAAATTGCCCTCTGTATCTTGGTTCTGGAGACTGCTATTTTGATGTAGCTCCTAAACACAGTTGGAAATGGCTTTCTTCCAAGTTCTCAAAAGAGACACTAAAGCCATTTCTTTAACAACAACAACAACAAAAGCCAGGCATGGTGGTGCACCCCTGTAATTCCAGACTCAGGAGGTTAAGGCAAGAGGACTGTGGTGAGTTTGAGACCAGCCTGTGCTACAAAGTGAGCTCAAGGCCAGCCTGAATTGCATAGCAAGACCCTGTCTTAAAAAGTCAAAAATAAATAAATAAATAAATAATAAAACACCCTGGGAAACAACATAATGAAATGAAGTCATCATTTTTGTCTTTTGCACTTGTCATTTGATTAAGCAGCCCTACATTAGGTCTTTTACGTCTCTGTCATAAATATCTACCAAATTCCCTGGCCCTGAGAAACAAGCCATCCTTCCTGAGCCTCTTCTAGGTGCCCAGCCTGAGGCATTGATGCCCAGCACGAACAGCAGTTTCCACTTGTCATTAAGCCTCCCAGATCTCTGGCCAGGGTGGCTTTGTCCCCGTCTACCTTTTGTTTCCCAAAGCAGAGTTGAGGCCTCTCCCTCTGCACTCAAGGCAAGGGTCCCTGGGGTAGCGTGCTGTGGGTGCATCCTCCTGTTGAGACATTTTATTCAGCATATAAGAATCAGGGTTCACTGGTTGGTGGAATGGAGACCAAACACAGGAGATCTGCACACTGTTGTCCAGTCTTTCCATTTTCTTAGAGTTGTATGTATTTCTCCTATTTTGTTCTGGCTGTGGAACATAAACATGTAACCCCAGCTCTCTAAGATATAACTCTTCATTGATCTAGTCTTCTCACCTATACAACAAGAAACATGGAC